GTGTGCAGTCACCACTCTTCTCACGGACCCCTGGTGGCGTGTAGATCTGGGGACAAGTTACTTTGTCGATGTAGTAGACATTATAGCCGGCGCAGATGGATTGACAGATTTTGAAATACGAGTCGGTGAGTGGTCCAAATCATATAAAAAAACATCTGGTAATTTGGTATTACCAACTGAGTTGATAGCGTAAATTGGCCACCGTTAAGAGTTTAAAAGCTGACGTTTTGAGCGTGAGCCCTTCGTCAGAGCAATAACCGGACATCCGCTCAGTCTTCCAGAAGTTCTTCTCTGATGGCTGGTTAGAACAAAGGAAAGAAGGGAAGCCAATAGGATTCCAGGGTTATAGTTTCAACCGCGTGAGAACGCGAATGACTAATTCGCGGTTGATTTAAGTTTTAAATCTGATTGGATGAGAGGGTGGCTTGAGTTCCCTAAACCAGTCGTAGCCCAGAATGTAACATTTAGTCGCCCCATCGGTATATTAGATGGAGAGGACAGCATTTATATCCACGGAGTAATTGGGGTCTTAATCAGAGCGTCAGTGCATACCTCTCCGATACTCGAATATGGTGTGAATTATATCATTATCGATTCTTTATTATCTCGTCACCAAAATATCAAAATGTTATGTCCCTACGCGTTTCTTATCAAAAGTGTTATGAAACAAGGAGAGATCAAGTCAGTTCTATCCTTTATTTCTGTCTACTTAATCTACATTTTATTATTTCCTCAGGCGACAATCTTGATAATGAAGGAAACTTAAACCAAAAGTGTGGAGGACCACACACTTTGACTTCTTCACAGGAAAAGTCGTTCTTTTGCACCCCAGGTATCAAGGGTCGGTATGTGAACATCCGAATAGCGAGAAACAACAAGAAGCTGGCCATCTGTGAGGTGTCAGTTAATCCTAATCCAACAGGTGGGCTCTGAACTTCGTCCTTGCAAATAGGAAGGAGGAAGAAATGTAAAGGTAGTGGGTACAAAAATAGCGAGAAAGGTAGGAAGTGTGGTAGTGAGGTAAATAATGAATCGCCCTGACGAAGGGCTAACGCTCGAAAGGTCAGCCTTTAAACTTTTTACGGTGGCCAATTTACGTTTTCAACTCAGTTGTTAACACTAAATTGCCTGTGATACTCTCCTACCGACGCAGCACCACAGTTTCTTTAGAACCTCTATTAGTAAAGTAAATTGTTGGGTAAAAGAAAGGAATAAAGGTTGGTAGGGAGATAGATAATCAGACACGTAGGCAGTATGAGAGCGAGAGTGTGAAGGAGGTTGGCAAGTAAGCAGGGCAGGCAGGTGAACAGGAGACAGGGAGGTAGCAGGGTAGGCATCTGGGTCTGCAGTCTGATGGTCCAGGTGAGAGTAGCCATAGAAGAATGTTGTCGGTAGTGGTGACTGAGGTTTCGACAAGCTTAGCGGAAGTCATGAGCCGAGTCAGGTGAGGACTCAACCAAGTGTTGTAAATCTGGTTGGGAGAGGTGGTTGACTAACTTAGTAGAGACCCCTCTCAGCAGATACCAACAACAAGTGGCACCATACAAACGACTTGTTCACGACATTTACATAACAAATGTACCAAACGTGCCGAATAGAAGGAGCTAACATTACTGGCGAATAGAAACTAACTAATCACGACCGTGAAGAGAAATCAAGGCAATATCCAAGTTATTGGTTATGGACGTTTGAGTTGTTCTACCTGTAGCGAAGCTGTTAGGAGTGGGTTCATGTTAGCTTTGAAATTTTATTTCTATCTGCATAGTCGGTCACTTTTGTTTCTACTTTATCAGTAAACCTTGCTTTGAGCAAGTCAGCTTCTCAGTCCTCTGTCTCCCACAATGCTTACCCTGTGCGAGCAGTGGATGGAAATGCTGACAGTGACTGGAGCTCATCAAGTTGTACACATACATATAAAACAACGGATCCCTGGTGGCGTGCAGATCTGGGATCAAGTCAGCACGTGTCAGAGGTGTTCATAGTCAACAGAATAAAGCATGAAAATAGGCTTTTCAACATAAAAATCCGTGTCAGTGAGCCAAAATTCCTTGGAATATAGTTAGTTTCACGTCATCGTTTCAGGTAATTTACAGGCCCCAATTCAAACCAGCTTGCGACTGAACTGCCCCAGTCTGATAAATATTACGATAAATAAATACAGGAGAAAAAAATAAATAGGTTTGGTTCGAATTCATGTTGAGATATATACGATAAATTTCATCAACTTAATCTTACGATCAGCATGGTGGCCATGATATGTAAATAAACTCTTTTGTTACACCTCCCAACACAAATACGTTTTCCTATTGGAGGAGAACGTGTCACATGCTATATGTCACTTACTCCTCAAGGCGAACAAAACTCATTAACTCCCAAGGGAAACAATAACCTGAGCTTTGGACTCGCAAGTGAGCAGGTCGGGGACCTTAAAACCTCGGCAAAGCTGTGTGCCACTCCGAGTTAAGAAATTTCTATTTTTTCAGTGATTCTCTAGACTTTGAAGGTAAATAAAAACACTTAATGAATGGCCCCACGGGAAATAATAAGTTTTATATTCTCTCAAGGAGACAACCTCACTGTTTCCCTTGGGGCCAGCTTTAAGGATATCATTAACCTTGATTAACTGCACTTCTTCAACCTCAACGATCATCAAAGTCTTCTAAAAGAAGTTTTTTTTTATCCCTCAGGAGATAGTTTGGCAAATAATGGAAACTCGAATCCGAGGTGTGGTGGCTTGTAATCGATGGCTTATTCACTTAAAGCTTCGTTTTATTGCAAACCGAGAAAAACTGGACGATACGTAAATATCAGACTGGTGGGAAGTAGCATGGTTCTGACTTTGTGCGAAGTGGAGGTGTATTCCGAAAGAAGAGGTATCTTATAGTTTAACCTCTTAATTAAACTCTCAGAAGAGCTTCTCATGTAACTTCCCTCTATAATATCCATACAATATCCAGCAAACAGTCAATGAGAATACTCAAACTTTTTAGGAAAAAGTCGTAATCTTGATTTAACACGAAATTCTCGGAAATAAATTACGTGGAAAAATGTAGCAGGGAGAGGAGAATTAACCATCAGATCTTGAAAGTTTAAGGGTTAAATCTATAGAAAGCTTTCTGCATGCCCATAAATTGACGCATCTCACTTCAAGTTCTTTCTCCATAGCTAAATTTAAGGGGGGGGGGGGAGAGAAAAGAGCGAATTGGTAGGGAGGGAGGAGAGGAAGAGTTGTAGATCAATGTCTCAATAATGGATATCACAAGAGCCTCGTCCGTGTCCATTTGGTCATAGTAGACAAACAACACCCGTTCTTCGTTACTAATCCCACTCTGCAGCCATTGGTTACAGCACTTACAATAAGACTGTAACTGAATACGAACGTAAAAGATTGGCTTTGTAGAGCGATTAAAAAAGATGATGACAGCATCTTCCTCATTCTAGCCATTCTGAAATACAAGCCAGTAAAACACTCAGTGCAGGATGCCTATTACCAAACTTCTATAACTCTGGTCTGTCCATAGCCTTTCGGTTATCCTGAACCGTTTGTGACCTGGGTCAAAAATGGTGTCGTCCTTCAAAACAGCTCATCCGACTTAACACTGAATCTGTCAATCATTGCTCAAAGGGATACTACCAAGTGGACAATTGACTGTGTGGCCAGCAACAAACATGGCGCTGATTATCACAGATTTGTTTTGAACTTGCACAGTAAGTAAAAGAACCGCACCCTTTCATAAGCGAGAGCCAGGCGTGGATCTTTTAATGGAAAACTCTGCTAGGCAGTCCAAGAACAACTTCTACGCTCAGAATATAGTTTATCAGTTATGTCCTGCGATCAGTCCTTTTCTTTAAATTAGTGGTTTTATCGTTGCGTTTTTGATATCTGATACATTTTTGTGTTCATGGGTTTCTCTAATAAAGTCAGCATCGCAAAGCACGCGGTGTGTTTGAGTTCCAAATATCACGTATTGACGAATGTACATGAATTAGTATCCCTAGAAAAAGAAAAGTTCTCACCCAAATTGGCCGAGTCTTTCTTTTTTCCAGAAAACTACTTAAACAGTGTGGGAGATACAGTGGACAAAGACACCTGATAGTCAGTGCACTGGAATCCCGGTCAAGAGGTCTGGGTTCAATACCTGGCCTGGTCGATATGTTGTGTTCTTGGACAAGACACTTCACTCTCACAGTACCTCTCTCCACCCAGAATGCAAATGGGTACCGGCGAATTTTCAGGGAAGCCTGGTGAAATGTTGAGGGGTAACCATGCGATGAACTAGCATTCCATCCAGGGGAGGGGAGGGGGGAAGGGGTAGTTACACTCCTAATCGCCACATACTATGAAAACCGGGATAAGCTCCGATTGGATGGGCCAGTAGGCTCGAGTACAGACTTTATCTTACTTATCTTCACTAAAAAAATATGGAAAGATATCCTCTCTTTTATTCAAGGCAGATATACGATGTGCACGGAATTCAGAGACCTAATGGAAGAGACTAGAACAGTTCGTCATGTAGTACATAACCAACAGTCGGCACGAAATGATGGGGACATTGATAACCGTGCATGGTACCGCTTTGTTAGTCGAGATACAGGAACCCCAGTGCAGGTCTGATCTAAGGTTACAATTTTTTTCCGGTTAGAGGAGGAGGAGTAGAATAAAAAGCATTTGTAGAGGGGAGGTCTTGAGGTTGAGAGTTGAGACAGGGTGAGGCATAAAATAAAAGATACGTCCAGTTAAATGGTGAAATGTTTCGTTTCCTGAATAGGTAATGCAACTTCTCTACCATATTTCACTGACCGACTGCAGGAAAAAATTAGGTCAAACAGTCTAGTCTCGTGAAGTTTCTATAAAAAATTTATGCAGAAATGTAACTGGGAGCTTGTAACCTCCTTGTCTTAACTTGTCTTAATCTTTTCCAAAGCAAAGAAAGAAAAACAAAATTTGAATAATTCCTTCTACTTTATAAAAGGTTATTATCAAATAAAGTGCGGTGTTATACAGGGATTTCTGGCCCTGAGAAAAGCCGTAACAACACACGTGAAAAAATATCGTATTTTTCACGTGTGTTGATATAGCCAACCAGCTGCTGACGCGTCATCCGCCTTTGGCACCACTCGGTCAGGTTGATGAATGAACGGCAAAGTTTTCACGATTCTCAATTCAAGTAGTTTGTCGGAGCTTTCTCGAATTATGGCGGCTAAAACACTTAAAATTCCGTATCGCTGACAAACAGAGAGGTTCAAACTCAAGAAGGGGAAGAAAACCAATATACTAAAAGAAAAACCGAAAGTTTTCCATTTAGTGGCTTTGGTGTTATCATTTCTCTCGGCTGAGAATGAAAATCGACAACTGGAGGATTTGCCACCGGCCGATTTTGGCCGTTTACCTGGAAGACTTCTTCTGTCGGTAAGGACAAAGTCAATAAATGAGAATTTTGTAAATTGAAAATTACGGCCATTGTTGATTTTGTAATCATGATTCAACATATTGTTCTATCTTAAGAGTTAGCGCCAACGTACTCTACGATTGTTATTCGGGGATTGTCGATTCATTTATTTTCAT